TGACATTTTTGATACTTTCCTTCAAATTGAAATCAGTGAAGAATCAAGAAAATAGTTAACAATAAACACTCATCATGGATTGTTCCAAGTTCCAATACCATAAGATGCCATTTGGTATAAAAGTTGCCCCAGCCATTTTTCAACCAGTTATGGATACCATGTTATCAAGTCTGAAAGGCAAATCAGAGGAAGAACATTTTCAAAATTTAAATCTTGTCCTAAAGCGTATAGAACAGTTTGGTCTTCACTAAAAATTACAAAAATGTAAATTTGGAGTCAAAGAAATTAAGTATTTGGGATATATTTTAAGTGAAGGTGAGTTAAAACTAGATCCAGCAAAAACTGAAGCTATCAGCCATGCCACTGCCCCGATTTCAACACTCTAAGTTCCTATCTTAGCGCAATAAGTTATTATGGTATATACTTCTAAACGAATTATTGAAAAAAGGAATCAAATTTGAATGGACAACAGAATGGGCTCTTTCACTAAAATTTAAATACGTAATTTAAGTATAAAATCTCAAAGGAGGGACTATTTTAGGCATATATACCAAAAAAAAAATGTTCTACAAGGTTCAATAAGTTTTTCATAGGCAATCAAAAGTGCCTAAATTCAAACTATTTTAAAACGCGCCGATTTGCCGACGTCACATAAATATTCTTCATTTCGCTTATGTCGTTGCAAGGAGGAAGGGCTCGGCTGTGTTTGCGCTCTGTAAAGATACGTAAAGGTTCGAATGCGCTGTTGTCGGTTGTGACTAAATGTAGTGCAGCGTAAAATAAATAAATAAAACTAAACATAAAAAATTGCATTAAATTGTATTTAAGCATAATTTAAAAAAAAAAATTTATAAAATCTGGAATCTATAACTAATTAATTTAACTACTTTTCATGAGATTTTGCCAACATTTCAGAATTAAATTTATTACAAATTTTCAATGTTGACAATTAGTGGCAACACGGTCAAATTGCGAGCTGCGACGTCATAGAAATAAATTCTGGGTTTTTATTTGGAGGTATTTCTTTGTTTTCTGTTTTCTCAAGAAGGACTTTGAATTTTTCAAAAGTAAAAATACAGAAAATTCTGTTTTTAGTTGCTTTATCCAAATATGCCAATTTCAAAAATTAGTGAAAGAGCCCATTTCAAGAATCGTTTGAAAAATTAAAAAAAAAAATTGAAATCGGATCTAAGTCTAACTAACTACAAAAATGGCACTATCAAACCTATATGGTACGCATCTAGAACTCTTACTGAAATAGAAAAGAGATACAGTCAAATAGAGAAAGAGGCATTGGCTGTCACAAAATTTCACAGAATGATTTATGGTCGAAATTCCACCTTACAAACAGATCATAAACCTCTTTTGACTATTTTCGGTTCAAAGAAAGGAATGTCAATTCATACTGCGATCGACTTCAAAGATGGGCATTCGTTCTCAAAGCATATGCCTTCAAGATAGAATAATTATCGATAGAATGGCTTTCTTGACATCTCAAGCATTTTATATTACTTTTACATTGCCTAGTTATATTATGTCCATATCTGAAGCAATTTTTACATAAAATAACTTTTTGTTAATTAATTTCTATTGCTAATATTTTACTTTCCGAACTCCAACATGCTACTTTAATTAATTGTTCCTGACTCGCTTTTCTCGACTATATAATGAGCCGGAAAGCTGCAAAGTTGCTTCGTCGACGTCGGTTTAATCAATCCATTAGAGCTGACCTGTTCAATTTCCCCCGGCATTAAGACATCGAAAGACGGCTCATTAGGATTGCAGCCGTTCATAATCGATTTTACCTGATTACTCGAAAATTATTATACGACACTCTTGTTGCTGACCCGAACACGTGTCAAGCGCACTATATAGCGCGATATGTAGAGCCAGTCTGGCGTGAAGTGCACCCATAATATATTCGAAAATTGCTGATGTATAAAGGCACCTGTATGCACCAGCCAGGCGGCAAAATTTCCAGCATCCATGGGACGCCATTATGCAATCGACGACCATATGGCGTCACAAACAATTTATAGACGGGACAGGGAAAGATATATTCGAATCGGACGGTTTTTATCGATGAAAAATGGGCCTTTGATGGCTCTGACTGGCGTAGAGTGTACTCGAGTTTTGTAAAGAATGAAGCCTGGCACATGCTATGACATATTAATTTTCAAATCTGCATATTTTCTACTGAAAACTGTTCGTTAACTTAAATGAGACTTTGGGCCTTCTAATTTTCCTAGTTGTCTCCAAACTGGGTCACGCAAGGACGAGCACGAGGGATGCCAGACGTTCATTAAGCACAATCTGGCGTCCAACTTAATAGGCGAAATTCACAATCATTCTAACGAGTTGTTTTTGGAAAGGGACTTATTTTGAATTTAATATGTTCTTCAAAAGTTCATATCATTTACGATGGACAAAAAACTTCCGTCGAATCTAAAAATTCTATACTCTGCGATTACAAAGACAAAAAAAGAACTAATTAACATTGTAGAATTTCTGGATATTTCATTGTTGAAGACACGGAACATATTTGGAGATTGGATATCTCAAACAATTCACTGGCAGTAGCGACAAAGACTCAAATGTTGTATGCAATTCTACTACGATGAAAAATATTTCCACATTGATTGTGCCATAGGTGAAATATATGAACGTGCCAACAGATCATCATGTAATACGGAGTCAGTTATGACTGGTTTATACTTCCAAAATTAAGAATTAAACTAAACTAAGAAATAAATTGAAAATTAAATTAAACTAAACTTCAAAAATGCAGTTTATACCTAAACTTAAGAATTATGGATTTTCTGAAATTAGCTAGCTTTTTACGTAATCACAAATGACAGAAAGGAACATTGAAATAAACAAAAACCAGCTAAATAGATCAATCTCCTTAATTTTTAATTCTTAGTTGAAAGTTAGCCAACTTTCAATTTAATTTAATTTAATTTAATTTTTTAATTTGAGGTATAAACGACAGCATCAAATTATAGACGTTTAACATTAAAATTTTTAATTTAGTTTAATTCTCAATTTAGTTTAATTCTTAATTCAGAAGTATAAACCAGGCATTATACATGCCAAAAACATTACTATTTATTGCAGCGTTCACCAATATCAACAACATGCAATGGCATTAGGGCAAACAGAGTAATGTATTATCTAAGCAAGATAGAACGTTGCTACACCAAATCATATTATACCAACCAAAGACGAAACGATTTCAAAAATATGCCCAATGAACCGAGAATCGGGGATGAGAAAATAATCCCCAAAACCAACTAGAAGAAACAATATGGAAAAAATCCGGTATCTTCAATATTATCTATGTAAAACCATTTAGGCTAACGGAAGCATGTTGCATGTAATCATATATCGGGTCTTCAAAAAAAAAACCAATCTAAGATTGCTATGGTTTTTTAAACGTATGTCTTAGCAATATTTTTCTTTAATTTTGTCAATGAACTTAAATGTCAAAATGTCATGTCAAAAATCCTGACCAATAAAGAAACAATAATGCGACGTACGTTTTCGTAACCAAAGCAATCTTTGTTTTTTTTTTGAAGACCCGATACAAATGTGTATCATGTGTTCAAAAGTTATGAGATTAGAACAGTATTTGAAACAGAATAAGAAAAAGCAAATTATGATTGATGTTGCCTGATGCTAAGCTCGAATTCAAACCTACTTATTTTTAAACTATAAGTCGACATTGGAATATGAAAAATCTCTTACCTGTTCGATTTCAATTCGTCGAATAAAATGCAATTTGCCCCAAATAACATTTCATAAAAATGTTCTATAGATACATAAGTACCTATTTCTCTTTTATCGTCTATTGCGACGAAGACTTATTGCATTTATTTTCTTTAATCACAGTATTTGACATTGTAAAAGGAGAACGTAAAATAGCCGGATGCTATGTGCGGGGGCCCATTAACGGAATGAAATTTTTATCACCTCGGAAGGGTCGTTTGTTAGGGTTATATTTAGGTTAGGATTTATCACCGCTGTGCCATTTCGAACGCATTTTTACGAGATTGAATTACTTAGAGCTTGGGATATCTTAATGTTGAGGATATATAAGATAAATTGAAATTTCTATTAGAATGTTTTGGTTATTTTTAACTACTTTTGAATTAAAGTAATTTGCCTATCTTTGATAAAAAGTAATTATCCCTTCGTTTAACTGTAAGTTAATTATTTTAAGAATTGGATTTTTTTTTCCCGATTCTTTTTCTTCACAAAGTTTTACAGAACTTAAATCCAGGATTAGACGTTGCCTTTTCCAATGGCACATCACATCGCCTAGCCCCCCATTAATGTATCGTTTGGTGGGCCGATAAAATAAAAACGGTTCGTCTTTTTATTGTCAAAGGTTGCGGATGAAAGGTCATCGTTAGCACTGACTTGCCGTTTTTCCAATCAGAGAGACAGAGATCTAGAGCCCGGCTTTATTAACTGATTTTCTTTTTATGGGTCGTTTACGATAATATATCGACTGCAAATAACGACTTTATTTCCTACTCTGTTGTGTTACGCCTTTACATAAAGGGTTCCCACACAATCTTGTTACAAGATGGGCAAAAATAAATACACAAAAAGGAGCCCATTTTTTTTTTCCGTTTCGTTCGTGGCCACTTTTTCCCTTTCAATTCAGTCTGTTTATAACTAATGAAAAATGCTGCAAAAACTAGCAATACTATTCGCAGCTTTCACTGTGAAAATTTGTGTCGAAGAAAAAACTGGAGAAATCCAAGGGGCCAGGCTATTGATCTCCAAGCAAATCCTTAACAGGTATCTTGTAGAACGGAAAGATATTGAAGTTCGTTATTCTCTACACAACATCGGAAAGTCACCTGCTGTTCAAGACAACGATTTTAATTCTGACGCCTTCGAATTTGTAGGTGGTCATTTGTCTAATAAGTTTGTCAGGATCTCACCAGAATCTAATTTCACACATGTAGTAGTAGTGAGACCCAACAAATATGGATATTTCAATTTCATCAGCGCAGAGGTATCATACATACAAAGTTTATGATGCTTCAGATGCTAAGACTCAAGTATCATACAGCAGTGAACCTGGTGAAGGTGGAATTGTTGCTTTCCGTGACTACGATAAGAAAATCTCATCACATTATTGGGACTGGTTGGCCTTCGCCCTTATGACTTGTCCAACTTTAGTCATCCCATTGGTCTTGTGGTACAACAGCAACAGCTTATATGAAAAAGTGAGCAAGCCAAGCAAAAAGAATTAGCAAGACTGAGCATTAATTTATTTTGTGTTAATTGTGTTAGGAAGTTTACAAAATATCATGTATGTTATATTTAAACTAGCTCTGAATTATTAAATACCTATTAAATGTTGTGTTAACGTATCTATTAGCTGAATTAAATTCAGTTTTTTTCGATGGTGAATTTGGCTTTGGTTGAAGAATATTAATGTTTACTCTCTAGATCAGAAGTCACCTAAAATTAAAATTTTACATCATCCCTTTCAAGGCAGCTTGTGGGCATTTTTCTTGTAAAGTGTACCACCAAATAAATAAACTCAGGCACAGGAATGTTCAAAGAATGTAAAGAAAACAGAAAAAAATCTACAGCGCAGCCCTGTATCACTCTATCTGCACTGCACTACTCCATCTGTTCTACTCTATCTGCACTATTCTATCTGATCTACTCTTTCTGCACCACTCTATCTGATCAGAATAGTGGAATAGTTCTGTTTTAAATATCTCCAGTTCCTGAGCAGCATGGTTCTACTGCATCTGCATTGAAATTACCGCGCATCGGTGAGCTTCGTTCTAGGTATCATAATATGGCGCCGTATACAAAATGGTTGTGGCGGACTCATAACCTGGCTCTCTGCCTTTCGACACCAGCCGGACGGAGCACTCCGAACAGTCGGCACGGAACACGGCTGTCAAGGGATGCCTGAGAGGAGAAACGGAACTTAGCCACAGAACGTCAATGGTCAAACGTCAAGAAATGACAGGAAGACCAGTTCGCGCTCTTTCGGAATGGACCAACAACAAAATAAAATACACAATTAAAACATTGTAATTCTATTTATTTTTGGACATTTTTATTGTGAAGAACAATTGAAAGTAAAGTGCTTTCCTTAAATTGTTTTTGTGCAAAGTGTGTGACAATAAAATCCACATGGTTTGCAATGAAAATGTGACTGTAAACTTGGTATCGGTTATAACAGATGGCGCCGTATGCGGGCTTATTAATTTTTTTCATAAATAAGTAAAAAAGGTAATTTTTTTGTTTTGTTTTTTTTTTTAGGGATTTTTTCGATTTATTATGTTAGGATAGACAAAGACAAATCCAATAAAGTAAAAATCATAAAAATCAGTCCAGCCGTTCTCGAGTTATAAGTGCTTCCACAAAACACAACTGTGTTTTATATATATAGATGTTAACAGTCATTTTTTATTAAGGTTAAGGGTGTGTTACGATAAATTTTTCATTTACGTAATATGTTCCATTTCTTCTAATTTTCATTATAAAGTTGTATTTTTGCCATTTCAGAATCAGCAAAATAATAATTCCTAATTTAAGTAATTTGAAAGTATCAAAAGAAAATTTAATTGGTTCAAAATAATATTAGTACTGATATCTATCCATCATGAGCATAAAATTAAAATATCTATTGTTAATTTACCAGTGCTGCCATCTAATACCGGATGAATTTTTTTTTTTTTAATTGTGGTAGTTTTCCTTACCTATTTCTATTATTGCTCATTGACAGCCATTGGCATTTGTATTTGAAGAAATTATATTTATCTCACTCTTAGCAAATAGATATATTGCTGTCTTTCTCTGATTCTGAAATAATTATTTTTGGCCTAATGACCTAATCAATTAGAGGTTTTTTGTTTTGAACATAACCTTAATTTAAATTATTATAATTAAACAATTAAAATAATTCTTAAATTAAAATTAAAATAAACGTGGCACTAACCAATAAGCTAAGTAATTCATACAAAATGGAAGCCAACAATTAGATTAAAAAAAACTTGAAATATAATATTTATATTTCAAAAACAGATAAGATAAGATTTATCAGGTAAAAACTTAATAAAGATACGATAATTTGAATATTGAAAAATCTATAGGGGAGGATCCAGAAATTCTAAGCACAAAATTAAATAAAAATAAAGAGGACTTGTCTGGCCAGAGTGTTTTTCAAAAAAAATTGTGGAAATATATAAGTATTAAAATTTACTTAAAAAATCTTTTATTAAAATAATTCTAGTGGATTTTTATCTATTCTCTTTTATTCCACGTGGTTTTTCATTGTGAAGTGAATATGGTCTTTTGAGTGAAGTTTTCTGATTGGTTGATCTGGTTAATACGCAGTTAAGTATAAAAAACACAAGATTAGTTTCCTGAAGGGTTTGGTTTTTAAAACGTTCTCTTTCTCTGGCAGTGCTCTGGCAGGCGAGTCATTTTTATTTTTAATAATTTTTCCTTCACATTTTCAGATTCTTCCTCATAATTTTTCAATATATTTTGTCATCAGTGCATGCTACCATATCATTGTTGAGTTTTTACCTGATAAATCTTATCTTGTCTATTTTTGAAATATAAATATTATATTTTAATTTTGTTTATCTAATTGTGGGCCTCCATTTTGTGTGATTGGTGGTTCCACGTTTTTTGAGGTAAGTCAATTCAGATTTTTGGGCTAATAGATAGGTACTGCTGCTCTGGTTGTCAGAATCAATTGTTAGTGTGGGATTATCGGACCATTTGCTCTAAATAGAGTCGGTGAAAACCAAATTTGTGTGTCCATCCCTATCAACTCTTTATTGATTCCAGGCAGAAGCCTGTATAGCTATTTTCTGTTTGACTCCGTCAATTATTATCTTCTCGGAGAGAAGAGTGTTGAAAAAGGGTTTAATTTTCTAAAATAGAAATCCAGACAGGTCAAAAATTCATTTAAAAAGTTTTAATTAAAACATCTCAAGAATTTTGACAGTTCCTGGATTTGATTGATTTCACCCTCAGGTTTATCTTGTAGTACCTATAGTAGCTACCTTGGCTTAAAAGGAAATTTTTTTCTATTTGGGGGAGAATCTAGAGATTTAATTTCTTATTTTTTTTATCTGATTCTGTTCTTTTTCTTGCCTGTTATTGCTACTGCCAGAAAAGCAGCTCTCTGCTCAACTTGTAACGAGCATTTCAATTTAATCTTGCTGTTATTATCTATTTTTATGATTATTGTTGGGGCTGATACTTATCGCAAAATGAAACTCTATGAACTTCGTAATTAATTATTTAATTAAAAATAGATTACATAAAAAAATGTGTTGCTTTTTCTAGCGATCGATCGATCAATACAATACAATTTTCAATAATAATAAATGACAATGTTGACATTATTTATCTGTCAGAAATCAAAAGTCACTCTCAAGGTTCACGCCATATAAGTAAAAAATTATATAATGTGTGTACTCCATTTACGCAATGAGATGCGTTTGATGCAAAAATGAGAGATGGAAATATCATTTCTGCATAAGTCTATCTTGTAGTTCGGTCCGTCAAATCTACGCATGCCTATAATTACACAGCACTCATTGGTCGTCGAGCATCGTCCGTCCACTACTGTTACAAATAAAATTGGAATTTGTGTACTTTAAGAAAAGATAACCTAGGGTTGAAATTAATCAAATCCAGTGTGTCAAAATTCTTGAGATGTTTTAATTAAAACTTTAACTGAAATTTTGACCTGTCTGGATTTCTTTTAAAAAATTACACCCTTTTGTTGAGGTAACAATTTAGGGAGTCAAACAGAAAATGGCTGTTCAGGCCTCTGCCTGGATTCAATAAAGAATTAATGGGGATGGACTGACAAATTTGGTTCTCACCGACTCTATTCAGAGCAAATGGTCCAATATTCCCACACTAAAAATTGATACTGAAAGCCAGAGCAGCAGCACCTATCTAAAATCCAAAAAACTGTATGGACTTACCTATTCTAACAAAACGTGGCACTAACCAATAAGCAAAGTAATTCATACAAAATGGAAGCCAACAATTAGATAAAAAAAAACTTAAAATATAATATTTATATTTCAAAAACAGATAAGATAAGATTTATCAGGTAAAAACTTAATAAAGATACGATAATTTGAATATTGAAAAATCTATAGGGGAGGATCCAGAAATTCTAAGCACAAAATTAAATAAAAATAAAGAGGACTTGTCTGGCCAGAGTGTTTTTCAAGAAGAGAACGTTTTAGAAAACCAAGCTAGCAGGAAAACGATCCTGTGTTTTTTTTATACTTACTGCACTCCAACCAGTTTTAATCAATCAGACGAGTACACCCAAAAGACCATATCCACTTCAAAATGAAAAGACAATGAAAGACCGCATGGAATAAAACAGAATGGATAAAAATTCACTAAAACTATTTTAATTGTTTACAAATTATAATAATTTAAATTAAGGTTCTGTCAAAAATAAAAGACTGTTAATTAATTAGATCATTAAGCCAAAAAATTATTATTTCAGAATCAGAAGTTAGAAAAGGACAGAAATATATCCATTTGCTAAAAGTGAGATAAATATAATTTCTTTCAATGAAAATATAAATAACTGTCGAATGCGAATTTTATAAATCATACTTTGAAATAGAAGATCATCGGGCACTAGATGGCAGTACTGAAAAATCAATTCTCGATACTTGCATTTTACGCAAATGTGGATAGATGGCAGCACTTGTATTATTTGAATTTGAATTTGAATTTTGTGGATATTATTTGGCTGATTCTAAAATGGAAAAAATACGACTTTATAATGAAAATAAGAAGAGATGGAACATGTTACGTAAATGATAAATTTATCGTAACACTACGAAAACGAGATTATCGATCGTCTGAAAACCATGCTTACAACCCACCAATCACCTCAACTGCATTCAACGCATGCGCACTAGACCAAACCAGGCTGAGCGATAGACTTATGCGAAGTTGATATATCTGTCTCACACATTTTTGCATCAGGGTACAGCAAGAACACGCGTTATATAATTTTTTACTTATATGGTTCACGCACAGCATGACGACAAAATGTGTTCGAATGTTCTTGATTATACTGCTCTAAGATGTAATAAATGTGTTCGAATGTTCTTGATGAAACTGCCCTAACAATTATTTTTCAATTATTCAATTTTTTTTTTTTTTTTTTTTTAATATTTCTCCAATTTACAATAGTCGCTCATACTTACCTGATTCTGTAAGAAAG